AATTGCTAAGGAACAACACACTCTCAAACTTTCACAGTTCGGACTCAAAGAGAGAGTTGACCTCGCTTGCACAAAGGTCGATTTAGGACATGACAACATGTTTCGGATGGGAGAATATCAGCTCCAAATTCTCGAATATGTCAAAGATGTGCTTATTGCAGTTGACAAATTGTCCAAGTTCTCTGGCTCCCCATGTGCTGATGCCAAAAAGGGGGAAAAGAAAAGAAACGATGATGATGAGGACGAGAACAGAAATCGATCACCATCTCGCCCTAATGAAGAAAGAAACACGAGATCCTCACCAAGAACCACGAGAAATGATGAAGGAAGGAACACGAGATCTACACCTCCTGCATCTTGGTCTCGACAACAGCCTCTCTCAAGATCCAGACAACATCCTATCAGACCTCGTCAATCTTTTGGTTCTACCTCGGAGTTTACATTTCGTGGAAAGACAAACAGAGAGAAGAAGAATCTTCGTCAAAAACTGATGCGAAATGAAAATGTAACCATGGATGCCACAGGCAACTTCGTTACTTACCAACAGTACGAAGCAGGAAGTGGAAAGCAATTTGAAGGATACAATATACCTGTATGGATGAAGAGGAAAGACAACTACTCTAGACAAGTCTATCAAAGCCAAAGAAATGAAGAAATCAAGAAGGCAAATCTAGAGTTGTGGAACAAACAAGAAGAGGCGAGACTTGCAAGAGAGCATGAATTGATTAAACGTGAGAGAATCAAAGAAAAGATAAAGGATGTGACAAAGGTTGGTAAAGATGCAGAACCAGGAGTTAAATACAATGCTGCCTTCAAAGTTCACACAGAAGCTGGAAAGAATTACAATGAGGGAATGAATTCGTTTGAGCTCATTACCTGGTGGAATCTTAGAATTGTTGAAGGAAGAAACATCCTTGAAGCATACAACAATTATGTAAGCTGCAACATCAAAGGAAAATATGAAGACCTTGTAAAAGAAAACCTTATCCAAAAGTTCAGAAACTTGATCAACTGAGACATCAACATGGATAGGATGCTCAAGCAACAAAAGGAAAGAGATGACAAAGAACGAAAGGAAGCTCAGCAACAGAAGGCAAAACTTTTAGATACGTAAAAGTTCTTCATCTATGCTTTCAACCATTTTGTAAGTGTTTTTATCTTTATATAAAAGTCATCCTTTGTTCAAACTATCGTGTTTCTATCTAAGTTACTTGTGCAAATTATTTGTATTTTTTAAAAAATTCTTAGAAACTGAATGTAAACTCTCCTAGTTGGCTGTTTTGAAATGAAAAATCCTTTATGGGATAATTATCAGCCTTATAAGTAGAGTATAGGTTTTGGCATCATCAAAAAGGGGGAAATTGTTAGGAACATATGTATTAAGATTTTGATGATACTAATGTAACTTAGATTGTAGACCTCTAACTTTTTATCATTTCTTTTGCTACCTTCGTTCTAGACGAAAGGTATCATAACTCACTGTGTACTTCGTGTTAAGATAGTCAAACACACGAAACCGAGTTATGATCTTTTAGTTAGGTGTGTTTGAACGAAAGTAGATCAAATGATTAAAGCAGAGCTACATCTCGGATAGACCACAAATGGAGATATAATCCTTTACAGCTACCAACAAAGGATGAAAGCAATCTTTCGTGAAGAGACGTTATGTCTACGGTCAAACTGCCAAGACAATCCATCTTCTCACAATTCAAGAAGAATGTTGTCTATGTCTCAGCTGATGGATCATCCTAGGAACAAGTTATCCTAAGAATAAGGAGCACATTAATCAAGGTGCATTAAATGCCATTGTACATCTTTTCAAAGCTAGAAGACAAAACTTGCAGAAGTTCTTGCCTCCAACGACTACATGGTACAACCACATTTAATGGAGCATTAAATGCACCAGGCTCTCCGGTTTTTACCCACTGGTCCATAGGTTTGAAATATCATCTCCCTCCAACGGATGGATATTTTCTCTCCTATAAATACATATCTTCTCCAATATAGAAGGTGCTGGTTTTTATATCAACTGATTATACATATACAAAAGCTCCTTATACAAGTTCACTCTCCTAAGCTTTTGAAAACCAGTGTTTCAAGGTGTGAAGTTTACAAGAAGAATTATCAGTTTTCACCTTCACAACCTTGAAGAAGTCTTGCATCTTATATACGTTGATCATCTAGCATTCAACCAGTCAGCCAAGACTTCAACCTGTTGGAGAACCACGCAGATCTTTTCTTCCAACCCTCAACTCTGAAGAAGACGTTGATAGAGGCGGAGTAAACTCTAGGAGTTGAAAAACCTTCAAGTAGCTGTTTGGCTTAGTGATCACGGAAGCTAGCTAGATATAGTTTGTACTAGGAGTGATAGTGCAAACCTTTCACGAGTTGTGAAAGAAGAGTGGAGTAGGCACAGTTGGACGAACCACTATAAAAATCTCTCGTCTCTCTCTCTCTCTCTCTCTATTTACTCTCTGCTTTACTTTCGTGCATTGCATATCATATCCTCTTAAACCGAAAGTTTTCATAAAGCAACAAACAGTGCAAAGCAATATAAAACTCGTTTAACAAATCTGCTGCGTAATAACCCCGAAAAGAGTTATTTCTGTAAAAATCGAATTGAGTCTATTCACCCCCCCCCCCCCCTCTAGACTCTCATTTCGACCCTACCGGGACCAACAAATTATTTTATTTATAATTATTAAAATAAAATTTTAAAAATTAATTTTAAATAAAAAAACCGACACGTCATCACATTAACAAGTAAACAAGGCATTTTAGGTTAAATTGAATGAATTTGTGTAGTTCAGGGACCTAACTGTAGGTTTTTTGAGTTCAGTCGCCTAATTGCATTTTGGTGTGTAGTTGGATGGCTTATTTGACCCTTATTCCAATATTTTATAAAATAAATTTGTATAATTATTATTTTTATTTATTGGAGGAAAATTCAAATCTACAATTTATATCTTCTCATAAATACATATAAACTACAAATATATTTAAAATTTGGTGAAGTTTTTTTTTCTTATTTTATATTTTATGACAATTATATTAAATTATTATACTTTATTCATCTCATTTCGCAAGTTTGACGCGGTTTACATGTTTTGAGTTAAGTTACTTACAATTCAATTTTTCATAATATTAAATTTAATGTATTAATATATAAAATTTATATATTTAAAAATCACACTAAAAATACTATTAAAACACAAAAGAAAATTAAATTTAAAAATTGGAAAAAAAAAATACTAAAAATAAGAGCATAAAATGAAACAAAGTAAGTAGTATTTTGCCATACACTCCTACAATAATTTAATAGTTTTGATAGGTATTAATTGGTGGATATAATTTAAAAACATAAGAATTGTGAATGAAAGTTATACCCCTCATTTATGTCTGCTTTTTCCGTTAAGTTTTTTTTTGTACATTATGCTATAAAAGTTGTACGTTAAAATATTTTGGACAAACATACCCTACCGTTATAACTTCAGTTATCTTTTTCACTATTGTTACCATGCACATGTATCCACAATATATTTTCTTATCTTCTTCATTAATAATAATATATACACATTATATATTTGAGTTATATGTTAATTATTAGCTAAAATATAAATATCAAATTTATAAAAATAATTTACATTATTATTATTATTTAGAATAATTTAAATATCTAAAATCTAAATAAATTTAAAATTTTAATATAATGTACTAATATTAGACACCTATTTTTTGCGCATCGCGCATAAAAAAAATATTAGTATTTGAATATGTGTGATTATATGAGAAGAATGTTTCTTATAAATAAATGCAAATTAATTGTCCATGAGCTTATGGTCTAGTGGCACAAAGTGACTTTAAATGTTATTAAATTATATATCATTATTGCCACTATATATTTTTTTAAAACAAAATTATTGTACGTAGTTGATGATATGATGTTATACTTTACAAAAGACAATGAATTGCGAAGAATATGTTATTTACTTTTTCCAAATTTTATCAAATATAAAATATCTATTATTATATACAAGAGATAAAATTTTGTAATGTAATAATCATAAATATAAGAAGAAGGCATGTCGCAATTACTTTGAGGTACGGTAAAAATATAAACTATATGTATAAGAAATTTTAAATTTGTTTTGGATAAAGTTGAGTGATCCAAATCAATCCAATCATACATGATAGCCCACACTTAATTATACCACTTGCCTCTTTCCCACTTCCTTAACCCATTTTTAATAACTAGCATTTCTTATGCGCAAAAAAAAAGTGCTCAATATTAATATTTTATATTAAAATTTTAAGTTTACTTAGATTTTAGATATTTAAATTATTGTAAATAATAATAATAATAATAATAATAATAATAATAATAATAATAATAATAATAATAATGAAATATTTCTATAAATTTAATATTTATATTTTAAAAAATAATTAACGTATAACCCCAATATATTATTATTATTATTATTATTATTATTATTATTATTATTATTATTATTATCATTGAAAATAAGAAAATATATGGTGGATGCATGTGTATGGTAGCAATAGTGGAAAAAATAACGGAAGTTATAACGGTAGGAGTATGTTTGTCCAAAATATTCTATAGTACAACATTTATAGCATAATGTATCATAAAACTTAACAGAGAAAACGGACATAAATGAAGGGTATAACCTTTATCCACACTTAGTCACTTATTATGTTTTTAGATTTTAGAGGAAAAAAATCGATCAAGATACATCCAACACTAAATGATCAATATTATGTGTATTTGTTAAATTTCATTTTTTTTTTTGACATGGCACACGTTGATTTGATGAGAATATAGATTGTGTTGTAATCAATGATGATGTCAGAGAGTACAGAGAGCATATATATATATATATATATACTAGATAGAATCCTAGTCTAACACGAATAATATAGTCCTAGTGTAATATGAATAATATAATCCTAATACTCCCCCTCAAGCACAAGGTTGGCTAGCCAAAAAAATTGAGCTTGTGACGGAGTGAATTAAAACGTAAAGTAGATAAAATTTTAGTAAAAATATCAGCTATATGATCCTTGGTTGAGATAAAGTTGATTTGGATCTCCTTCTTGGCTACTTTATCGCGAACAAAATGGTAGTCAATCTCAATGTGCTTCGTGCGGGCATGAAAGATAGGATTAGCGCATAAATAAGTTGACCCTAAGTTGTCACACCACAGCTTTGGCGCAGACACGGGTGGGAAGCCGATTTCCCTCAGTAGAGAAACAAGCCAGGTGACTTCAGCAGAGACATCAGCTAACCCCTTGTATTCGGCTTCAGTCGAGGAACGAGCCACTATCCGTTGTTTGCGACATACCCAAGATATAAGATTCTTCCCAATAAAAACAGCAAAACCACTTGTAGATTTTCTATCGTCCGGATTGCCAGCCCAATCTGAGTCAGAATAAGCATGAATATCAAGAGAGTCAAAACAAGATATGTGAAGACCAAGATTGAGAGAGCCATTGACATAGCGCAGAACCCTCTTCAAGGCCGTCCAATCCGCAGTGGTAGGAGCATGCATATACTGGCACAGACGATTAACAGCATAGGACAGATCAGGACGGGTGACCGTAAGATACTGTAGGGTTCCTGCAAGACTGCGGTAGTGAGTCAGGTCTGCGTAGGGAACCACAGGACCATCCGTGGGTTTGGTAAGTGAAACTGGCGTGGTTACCGGTTTGCAGTCAACCGTACTTGCTCGTTTCAGAATGTCTTTCATGTAACGCTACTGAGATAAAAGCATACTAGTAGATGATTGAACAGTTTCAATTCCCAAAAAGAAAGATGGAACACCCATATCACGGACTTTAAATTCAAGTTCCAACTTATTGGCCAGTGTAGCAACACGTTCCGAATCAGAACCCATAATTAAAATGTCATCCACATAGACAAGAAAATACAATTGAATATTATCATGCAAGTAAATAAACAAAGAAACATCTGTTTTAGAAGGCGAGAAGCCCACAGAAACCAGATAATCATGCAATCGCGTGATGAACTAGGCACGAGGTGCCTGCTTAAGCCCATATAGAGATCGGTGAAGCAGACACACATGACCGGACAGTGGCTTGTCCTCATAGCCAGGTGGTTGGCGCATATACATTGTTTCAGCCAATTTTCCATTCAAGAATGCATTATGAATGTCAAGTTGACGAATAGTCCAACTGCGGGAAATAGCTAAGGATAACAAAATACGTACCGTAGTCGGTTTTACTACAGGACTAAAAGTCTCAAAGAAGTTTTCTCCAGCAACTTGATTAAAACCTTTAGCAACCAACCGAGCTTTATGACGCTCAACCGAACCGTCGGTCTTTCTCTTGGTTCTGAACACCCACTTGCATCCAACAACATTCATACTAGATTCAAAGGGAACAAGACGCCATGTATCATTCTGAACCAATGCATTAAATTTCGAGTCCATTGCATCACGCCACTCTACAAACTTAACCGCCTGAGAATAACAAGTTGGCTCGGGCACAACGGTAGAAGCCAAGGCGACATGCTCATGCGGACCTGTACTCCGAGTGGCCATACCGTGCGTCAGAGGGACGGATGCACCACGCTTGGTGGTCCCTGGCGGCCTGCCGCGCTGTCAAGCGGGACGGTCCGAGACAGTCCGTTCAGTGGACTTGGACTGCTCGGCACCTCCCGTGGCAGCCTCAACAGCCTCGGCAATGTGCTCATCGCCGGCCGAAACATCATCCGAGACACCGCGATCCGGAATCCGAACTGCCGCAAAATATTTGAAGCCATTTGCAGAAAGTAACGGCGCAAGGCCCCAAATATTAGAATATATTAATTCTAAAGGATGTGTACTAGTAGTTTCAACACGAGATAATGAAAAACGAGATGATTTTCCCAATTGAAAAGAAGAACAAACATTGGGAAGATCTTTAGAATTAAAATGACTAATAGACGAAGACTCCAAAATTTTACGTAAGACTCTAGAATGCGGATACCCCAACCGCATATGCCAGACAAAAGAGGAACGCGCAGCAATGAATGCAGCTAGAGCAGGAGAGGACGCAGGCCAGGAGTACAGGCCACCAGATGCATGCCCTTTAAATAGGACTTTCTTGGTCAAAATGTCTTTCACAAAGAAACAAAGTGGGTGAAACTCAAAGAAAACATTATTATCTTTGGCAAAACGCTGGACAGATAATAATGAACTAGAAAGATTAGGAACACGCAAAACATCATTTAACTTAAAAGATCTAGAATTAATGACTAACGAAGCTGAACCAACATTAACAATAGGCAAACCTGTAGCACTGCCAACACGAAGAGTGTCAGAGCCATCATAACCCGTCGCAGAGGTCAACAAAGAAGAATTGGGCGTAGCATGGTTGGTAGCACCAGTATCAGGAAATCACTCATGTAGACCACCTGAATCATCACCAGAAATGGCTACATTCGCCTGAGGAGCCGGGGAGGGTGAAAAACGCTGAGAACCCAAAGCCCCTGAATTACGCCAAAAACAATTGGCTCCCGTGTAACCGAAACATTTACAAATTTGACATGGATCATCATAGCGCCAAAAACAATTGGCTCCCCTGTGACCGAAACCTTTACAAATTTGACACGGTTCATCATAGCACCAAAAACAATTAGCTCCCGTGTGACCGAAACCTTTACAAATTTGACACGGTTCATTAAAGTCACGTCCGTCATGTTGCTGACCTTGGTGCAGACTGGAACACCCCGTGTTACGGCCCTTAATCTCGAATTAATTATTTAATTAATTCCATTAATAATAATTAAAAAGGATTTAATTTTATTAGAAATCCCTTTAATTAATTAACGTGGTCCACCACGGATCGTGGACCCCTGCCTAAACTAGAGTCATAAGCCTATTAGGAATAAAGAAAGTATACCTTTACTATTCAGATTATGGTTAGGATTCTCTTTAATTAATTAATATGGTCCACCATGGACCATGGACCCTTATCCCTAAAACAAGTCCTTAATCCTATAAGGAATAGAATTAGTAAACCCATACCATTCAGACCCTAATTAGGACTCCTAAATATATATATATATATATATATATATATATATATATATATATATATATATATATATCAAGGTTGCAGTAGGCGCTAGGCGCTAGTCGGGCGGCCGAGCAGCGCCTAGCGCCTAGGCGGTCTAGGCGGCGCCTAGGCGGATTCTAGGCGGCGCTAGGCGGGCACCAAAAAAATTAAAAAAAATAGTGACAGACTTGTAGTTCGACAATTTTAATGAGGTTGTTTTCAACGTTCACTCAAATAATACATCTAAATAAATGAAATAATGATAATTTATAAGTCATAATGTCATAATAATATTAAAATCAATAATTAATGAAAGACAACATCGGTCAAAATCAGACAAAATCGATCAAAATCGGTCAAAACGGTCAAAATCGGACGAAATCGGTCGACTCGGCCGAGTTGACCGACTCGGCCGAGTTTGACCGCCCAGGCCGCCTAGCGGCCGACCGAGTTTTGGCCGCCTATAGGCCAAAACTCCAAGGCAAGTGGCCGCCTAGCGCCTAGGCGGCTAGGCGGCCGAGTTTTACAACACTGATATATATATATATATATATATATATATATATATAAGGACATAGGAGGCACCTAGAAGTCACACCACAATAAATATCACCACAAAAGAACTCCCAAGGGACTCCCCACCACCAAGCCTAGGGAGATCAAAACATATGGAAATCTTAGGGAAGAACCTTAATAGCCAAGGGATGATTAATTAAGGCTAAGAGATAACCCATGTCTCAACAAAACCTATTTTTTTCACTATAATCTCTCTCCTTGGCCTCCCTCTATATGCTTGTGTCTTGATTAATTCCTCTATGCTATTTGTGAAATATCCTTGATAATTGATAAGATGATTTGTGTGTATTCTTGATAATCTTGATGATCTTGAAGATGAAAAGAGGTTCTTGATGTTGATGTAATGATTCTTGACAAATCTTGATAGTTCTTGATGTTAAAGATAAATTGTGATTTTGATGAATTGGAAGGGATTAGAGCTCTAGGATGGATTGGGAATTTGTGTTATAATGTTCTTGATGTAAATTGGGTGGGAATTCGCATGTTCGGGCGTTGCTTATGTTTAGGAGTCATGATAGGATGAGTTATACGTGATTCTTGCTTTTGATCCATTAATTGACTACGTGGTGTCGTTAATTGCATTTAAAAGTGTCTAAGTATGGTTTCGGGTTCCACAAAGGATCCCGGGACGAATTTGTCATGAATGAGTCAGTGGGGGGTAGGTGGGGGTAGGGGTACCCGCCACCTACCCGCTGCCCGAAGAGCACCGCCGGGCAGCGGGCAGGCACCGGGCAGGCGTCCGCCGGCCGGCAACCCGCTGCCAGGCAGTGATCTCCGGCAGGTGATCCCTCACCCACCGGCTACCCGCTGGTCCGTTACCCACCCCGGGTCCCCGGCTTCCCCGTTTGATGTTCCCCATTCCACGTGGCGTCCCAACGGACCCCGCTTGTCGTGCTTGAGTCTAGTTTGATGTTTCGGGTGCCGTTCGTAGGATAAAAGAGTCTTAGGAATTACATGCTAGTTGAATCGGTAATCCATCGACCTAGGTGAAAGTCGTATGAACCCCTTAGGACTATTCTTAGTATGTGAATGATCACACGTAAGCTTAATTATATGTCTCCCCCTTCCCTATGTGCTACTATGTGTTATTATGTGCTATTGTGTGTTACGTGATGCATGACCCCAACTTGGTTAAAGATCAAGTGGGCTATACGGGCAGTTGAATGGGCTGAGAACCATCCCAACTGTTAACCAGGTCGGTTAAGATCGGTCAGGTATATAAATATTATATAGGACTGAGGTCCACTATACGGGCAGTTGAATGGGCTGAGAACCATCTCAACTGTTAACCAGGCTGGTAGAGACCGGTCAGGTATATAAAGATTATATATAGGACTGAAGGTCCACATGGGCCTCGGTGATATGACCCACCGACCTGGACGCGACAGGCGGTGTGTGGGGCCAACAAGCCGAGGAAGGCTGTAGTCCATCGACCTGAGTAATCAGGCGGTGTGTAAGGCTACGGCTGGCTGCGATCCACCGAGTGATGGGACATCGGTATGTAGGGTCGTAGTCTCTGAGGATCTTCGCCCACCGACTGAGTTTAGCTCAGCGGTGTGTCGGGCTTGGTCCGCTACGGTCCACCGATTGTGCGCATCAACGGTGTGTAGGGTCGTAAGTCCCCCCTTGTAGAGGGGATCGCGGTCCACCGACTGGGCGCGTCAGCGGTGTGTCGGATCGTGGTCCGACGTTGAGTTCGTCAGCGGTTCTCAAAGGGTTGGTTGCAATCAACTCCCCTCGTACCGCGGTACTGAGGTAGGGTGCTGCGGGGCCGTGTTAATGCTATAAGCATTAACCCTCATGTTCGGGGCATGCGATTGGTCCCGTGGCGCCATCAACGATTATGTGATATGAATGATGATTGAATGATGATGTGTCTGAATTGAAAAGTGAACTGTGACCTTAGATGCGTATTCCTTATGATGTTATTTCTACTTAACTGTTATCATTGATTAGTGTGCTTGCCCTTATTTGCTGAGTCTATTCCCGGTTTTAAAGCTAGAGTCTCTTAAGTATATATCTTCCTGCTTCAAAATGCTTTTCATATATCTATATATATCTATCTATATTGTATTTCAACGCGTTGGAGTGGGTTACCAGCATCTCTCGCTGA